GTGTGTGTGTGTGTGCAGCTTATGTTCATGAAGGAGCAGAACAGTCAGAAGAAGCTGATTATCGACGCATCAGCAGAAATCAACCACAGCTCTGATGCCACGCCAAATGCTAACGGCAAGGTGAACACCACACACACACACACACACACACACACACACACACCCATAACGATGAAAGCTTGTTGATGAAACCCAAACAGACTTGTTGGATGAGCCGTTATGGATCAGCTTATTCAACTCTCAGCATGGCTGATCCGGGCGTCTGCAGGCAGGGTGTGTGAGGTTATCATTTTCAGTAATTCTGAATATCGTGCGGAGTGTGTCTCTGCACTCGTGTCTTCAGGGATTCAGGAGATCTTGAAGAAATGTAAAGCAGATTAGAGTCATTAAGACATGATTCAGAGCAGCTGATTCAGTCTGGAGTGAGGAGTCGCTGTGTTTGATTCAGATGACTCGATCTGCAGCAGTGTTCAGTAAACGGTGTGACTCTACTGTCTCATATACACTGCTCAGCATATATAGGTACACCCCTCACACATCATCCATCCATCCATTCATCCATTCACAGATCTCTCTGTTATATTCATATTGTTAATTGAAGGCTCTGCAATATCATATCTGTGCATGAACACTAGATCAGTCAGTGCTGAAGCCAAATCTGGAGCTGATCTAGCAAAATACCTTATGATAATGTTCCGAAAACAAGCACAGCCAAATATATATATATGTGTTATAGAGGAATATTACATACAGATTTAATTACCAGGAACAATCAAGAGAAGCAAAAACATGAAAAATTGAGCTGAGATTTTGTAGGTTGTACTTTTAGCGATGTTTAGCTTGAATTTAATTGTTCGCTTCAATTTGTACATATGTTTGGTGACTGAAATATGATTTTAATAAATATATCTGCTCAACAAATCTGTTTTGTTTAAATGCACCTAAATACATCGCCTACATCCACTGAGAGATGGAGGAACATGTTCATTTTCTAAATGCGCTGTACTGTAGGTCATAAATCTAAAACACACACACACACACACACACACACACACACTCATTCACTCATTCATTCTCCTTCAGCTTAGTCCATTTATTCATCAGGGGTCGCCACAGCGGAATGAACCACCAACTATTCCAGCATATGTTTTATACAGTGGATGCCCTTCCAGCTGCAACCCAGTACTGGGAAACACCCATACACACTCATTCACACACACACACACACTCATACACTACGGCCAGTGTAGTTGATCAGTTCCCCTATAGCGCATGTGTTTGGACTGTGGGGGAAACCGGAGCACCCGGAGGAAACCCACACCAACACGGGGAGAACATGTATATAGTGTGTGTGTGTGTGTTTTCATGTGTGAATAGATGTTTGCATGTATTTACCCATTCTTGCATTGTGTGTGTGCGTGTCAGCAGCGTCTGTCAGACATATCCGTGGCTCTGGATGCGGGCAGTGTGTCTGAGGGGGATCTGCAGGAGCTGATGGAGCGTCAGAGTAAAGAGCTGCTGCTGCTGAAGGAGAGAGTGGCGTCTCTGATCAGCCGAGAGTCTGAGCTGGAGGAGGATCTGGACACGGCCCGCAGAGACCTCATCAAGAGTGAAGACGCCAACAGCCGACTGCAGAGAGACCTGCGAGAGGTGCACACACACACACACACACACAGACACACACACACACACACACACACACACACACACACACACACACACACACACAGACAGACACACACACACACAGACAGACAGACACACACACACACAGACAGACACACACACACACACACACACACACACACACACACAGACACACAGACACAGAAGCTTTGATAAGACACTTGTTTAATGTGTATTTTAGCTGTATACCCTCATTTCATTTTAACTGTGTGTGTGCTGTGGTCAGTCTCTAGCGCAGAAGGATGATATGGAGGAGCGCATCACCACGCTGGAGAAACGATACCTGTCGGCTCAGAGGGAAGCCACGTCTGTGCACGACCTCAACGACAAGCTGGAGAACGAGATCGCCAACAAGGACTCGCTGCTCTGCCAGGTCTGCACACTCGTTCATAACCACGAGAATCACTCGCGTGTGTGTGTGTGTGAGATTTAATCCGTGTGTGTGTGCAGCTGGAGGAGAAGAGCCGTCAGCTGCAGGAGAGGCTGGAGTTGGCGGAACAGAAGCTCCAGCAGACGCTCCGTAAGGCCGAGACGCTGCCCGAGGTGGAGGCAGAGCTGGCGCAGAGAGTCGTGGCCCTCACCAAGGTGTGTTATCACACACTTCAGCAGCGTGCCTTTCCCTAATGTTCTTACTTTGCAAACACATCATGGATGCGAGAGAGCAGCGCTGTCGCTGAGTGCAGTGGAGAAGGCTTCAGCTACTGTATTGTCTGTTATTATTGTCTCTTAATAACTTAATATTTATAAAACAGAGTGAAACAGACGGCAGAATGTGAAATGCTGTTTGCGTCTCGTGATTGGAGACAGACGAGTG